GGCGATGCGCGCTGCGCGCCTGGGCCGATTGCTAAGTCGGCAACTGTGGGAAGATCGCCATAGCTATGCTTGGCTGCGGGCGAGGTTTTGGGATGTGATTGCAACAGTCGCTGCCTTGCAAAGATCTGTGTAATAGAAGGCTGAGCTGGTGCAGGCTCTTCAAAAGCCTCAAAGCAGGGCGATGCGGGTTGTGAGGCCAGCGAGGCCAGATGTGCTTCAAAATCTTCAGTTAAGCTTCTGCGGGGCGATGCTGGCTGGGATTCCACCTCAATCGGAGAGGTTGGTGCCGAGGCTATGCGATGCTGTTTTTGTTGCGCCCAGCGGCGCCTCATTTTGAGCCGTTTGAGAGAAAAAAGGCTGCGGAACATGTGGCATGAGCTGGTTGAGCTGGTGCTATGCTGTTCAGCTTGCGGTGTGGACATGACCGAGCAGAGCAAAGCACTGGCAAACAAACCGACAGAGTGAGTGCATTCAGGGCCGGGCCAAACCTGAAGGGCCGGGAAGTGCCTGGTCCTGGGAGCAGTGCCGAGTTCGTTCTGGAGGGTCCTTGCCGGGCAGAGCGAGGCAGCATCCCGAAGGGGCCGGGCAGTGCTTGGCTAAAAGCAGGTCCGTGTCGAGCTCGTTCCGGAGATCCTGACAAATGCAATGTCCGAAAATGAAACAGCCACACGAGCAACTAATGCGTGAGCCTTGCCGGGCAGTGCGAAGTGGCAGTCCTGGAAGGAAAACCGTGCAACAAAGGATGTGTGCCATGTCATCGTTGCAATGCGTGCAAGATGCGGGTGTCGTGATTTTTTGGCACAGTGCCGAGCGCGGCTGGCAAAGAGTCCAGTGCTGCTGTGCAGCTTGAAAAACCACTGCAGATGCTGTGCGGGGCAAGGCAATGATCTTATGAGTCTGTGCTATGTGCGATATGATGGTATTTCAGTGCGAGGCTAGGCTTCGCTGGAGGGGGATGAGGACTCAATCGGAGTCACTCATCCCCCTCTCCTGCATCTCTTTGCACTTGCTGCAGCGGTGCGGTGCATGGCTATCTGCGGTGGGGGGGTCGCGCAACTTCTTGTTGCACGCCCCCCCACCAAACTTGCAGTGCATTTCACACTCTGCGGCGCAGAGCCAGTCGCCCTTTGCATTGCGATAGGCTGGGCGTTGGTCTCCGAGCGGTGACGTGTACCACGTCACATTGCAGTGAATGTGAGGTGATACACGCACGCGGTGCGATGCTGGGCGTTGCTGGCTGTGCGGGGGGTGGGGGAGGGGGAAACCCCCACTGTGCGGAGCAGGGCTGGGTGTGCGGCCACTGCGGTGCCTGCTGTCAGGGGGGGGCGCTGCAGAGAGCGGTGCGTAGGGCATGTGCTGTGGGTATTGCGGTGCCAGCCCTTGCCCCATTCCTGGCCTTTGCCACCCCACTCGCCCCCGCCTTTGCCAAAGTGCGGGGACGATGGCAATGCTGTGCTAGGCATAGATGACCCCCAATCATCTTCAACATCACTCCATCGAGGGCGAGGCTGTGGAGGAGTGCGGTTGCGTTGCGGTGTGGCGTCTCGCTCTCTGTGCCGGCGAGGCGTTGCAGTGCGGAGAGATGCCGGTGGGGTGACGGCGGGGGGAGGCGAGGGTTGCTCTGGCTGGGCAGGCGGGGGGGGCTGTGCTTGCTGCTTTGCGGGGGGGCCAGTGCCGGGAGGTGCTTTGGCGGGAACTGTTGATGTTGGCGGTGCTGCTGCCGATGCGGGGCTTTGCGAAGAGGGCGCTGCGGTTGCTGGGCCGAAAATCGTCAAGCGAGCTTCGGCCAATTCGCTTTGCAGGGCATCGATCTTGGCGTGGCCCATGGCGCGAAACGCTGCCACGCGTTGCTCGCGTTGCGCCTGGAGCAAGGCCTGCAGGGCGGTGCTTGTCCCGGCCATGCTGTGCGAAGCAGGGGAAGGCAGTGCGAAATGCTGTGCAGTGCAAGAATGCTGAGATGCTTGATCCAAGATGCTGTGCCATTGCAAGCCACTGCTGAGTGCAATGCGAGCACTACAAAACTGAGGTGCAGTGCTGAGGCAAAAATTGCAAGGCCGTGCAGTCCTTTGCGAAGTCGAGCGAGAAGAGCGGCATGACCTGAGCAGTGCAAATTAGGGCAGGGCGGGGGATTACAAGGTGTTTCAAAAGAAAGGCTTGGCGCAAGCAGCTGAGGCTCCGAGTCGAAGCTTTGCTTTGCCGACCTAAGCGAGGCAAGCGGTGCATTCTGTATTAAGCAAGGAGGCCTTGCCAGAAAAGCGCTGAGCTTGGCACTGCGTAGCCAAGCAAAAATCTGGCGTTGCAATGCGTTGCAGAGAAAACGAGAAGAGGCTTCTCTGGGGCCGGCGCCGGGCCCCTTTTTTTAGCGATGCAGCCTGCCAAGCGAGGCAGGTGCAAAGATAAAAGAACCAGTAGGACTGGCCTTGCAAGGCAGTGCAGTTGACCTGCCAAAAAGTAGCAAAGCATGCGTGCATGAAGAGCCAAAAAGGATGCTTTATGACATGCTCGAGTGCAACATGAAGGAATACAGAGAAAGCGTTCTGTTTTCTCCATGAAACATTGCAATGCGTTGCTAAAAACCTCAGTCAAGGAATTCAACCACGCAGAGCGCGCTGCGTTGCGGGTTAAAAGAAAATGGAGGCAAGATCTGTGCAAACACGTCATGATCATGGTGACGAAGCCAAACCATTGCAGTGCGTCCATCAATAACCACAGCAGTGTCAGTGCGTTGCATAACGCTTTGCAGGGTGCGGTGCAGTGTCGAAGACGATGCGCGCATTGCGCGAGTGTCTGCATAAGAAAAATGCCTGATCAAATAGAATAAAATGTGACTATCCAGCAATGACCATGTCTTGTGCCATGAGCTGTGCTGCTCAGTGCAAGGGCTTTGCGTGTTGGTGCTGGGCGATGCCCTGCATTGGATTGCGTCCAGAGCAAATGCTCCAAAGTGCATTGCATTCCAGTGCGGTAAAGGAAAATCGCAAAAGGCGATACCTGTAGACGTCAAATCTTATTCTGGTGCGGGCAGTGCGTTGCAGTTGCTGGCGCCAGGCAACAAAAACTGAAGCGACCATGAGCCAGGCCCATGCTGCGCGATTCGTTGCCAACATTGCTGAGCAGGGCTATGCGCTAGAAAAGTCAAGTGCTGCGTTTGCGATAAGAGTAAATGCGTCACAGTCGGGCGCCGACAAAGCCATGCTATGCTGTGCGATCAAGAAGGTACTGCAATGCAACTGTGCTGTGCAGATTTGTTGTTAGGATCTGACGGTCTCCTGGCGTGAGATCCCATGTCCCTGCCATTCGTCGATGCACTGTGCTATGCGTGAAGGAGAGGGGTCTTCTATCGGACATCTCGAGAAAACGGAGCAAAATGCTTGCAGAGCGTTGCGAGAGAAAAACTTCTGGCAGACTGCCCAAAACATATTCTGAGCTTCCTGGAAGATCACTGCTGAGATGCAAGAGTGCCTCGACCAGCGTTGCGGTGCTGTGATTTGCGGTCCGCGGCTCAGGGGTAGCAATGCGTTGCTTCTTATTGCCTTGGCGTTGCGACATGGCGTCTGAAAGAAACAGCTAAAATCACCTATGGAAAGCGCTAGGCAAGCAGCGGTAGTGAAATGCCGGGCGGTGCGTTGAAAACAACGCAATCAATCCATTTCTTCAAAAGAGAAATCTACTGCATCGGTGCACTGCGGCGCGCCTTCCAAGAGTGCAATGCGATGCTCCAAACTGCCAACTTTGGCCAAAGCTTCCTGCAGGCGATGCGAAAGGACATCGATGCGCTCATGAAGCGTAGCCCCCATCTCAATGCAGTCTTCTGCGAGGCTCTGCAATGCGCGGACAAGTTGGTCCGGCGTTGCTGTTTCGGGCGGGTCCATGGCGTCGAGATGGAGGAAAACTGCCATGCAATGCGTAGTGACATAGAAAGCAAAGAGCTATTGTTCAAAGTGCATGAAAAAAACTTGTAGGCATGCGATGCCAAGCGTAATGAAACTAGTTGTGAGTGACTTGTGCCGAAATGCAGTGCGAAGCAAAGGTTACATTCGACACAAGAACATAAAACACAGTTGATACAAAAATACAAACTCACAACTAGCATTCCAGACCTACCTAGCCGATAATAGGAGAACGTTAATTTTTTTTAAAGCCCATTTATTGTTTTGGATGCTTCTTTATTTTTCTAAATGCCTGTTTAATGTTTAAGGCCTATCCCTCTGATTGTTGTAGCTACAACGAATCCATCCTTCATTCATGCTGTGTAAGCATGCTACTAAATCATAGTACAGCTCGAAGACTCCAAAATGACATCTTGGCACTTGCATTGAAGTCGCATGCAAGTAGCTGTCACTGCCTAGTTTTTGTTTCTGCCGCATATCCTGTAGCCATGCAGAAAGTGCGATTCCAAGCACCCTGTAAAAAGCAAACAACGCGAAAACAAATATGAAGCGCTCGAAAACCTTATAACAACGCAAAGAAAATGGTGCCAAAAAAACACAAAAACAACTTGGAAAACTAAATTGCCTTTCTGGCGCACGTGTGTTGCATTTGTTGTTGATGCCTTGTTTTGACTTGTTCGCAGGAATGAAAATGCACAAAAAATGTGTGCGGTTGCTTCACGTTTTCCTATGTAAGCAGAAAAGCTAGGCGCCTTTTTGCTACGTTGTTTTTGCCTTGTTGGTGCCTGTCTTGTTCCTGGGAAAATTCATAAAGAAAGGCTCCGGAGTCCAGCTGGACCCTTGTCCGAGAACAGAAAGCTGCAAGAAATCAAGGAGAAAACTACTACCACAGAGAAAGGCATCACGGAGTCTCCCAGATCTCGTGCAGTGGCGTTCTTTTCGCCTTTGATTTTTGGGCTGCCCTGGTGGCCGCGATTGTTTCGCCTTTTGGAATTTGCTTGTCTTCAGGTTTTGGGATAAATCTACAAGACAAGCCAGGGTACGCCCAAATTTAACTTACATCACGAAAGCAGCCAGGGCCAAGAATCGATCCTCCTGCAGCTGAGAAGCTTGTTGCGCCACGTCTCACTGCCAGTCCAAATGGCATTGGTTTGACAGCGGAGATTGCTGCACCTTGGCGCTGTTTCAAAGTCTTGCCACCTACCATGTTGTACGTTTCTGCTTACCACATCCGGGACGTCGTGGGACAAAGCCTTTCTGCACGCGGATTGTGCAGACGTGTCAGCATACATACAGCTCGAGGGAAACGGAACCCCACCTGATCGAAACGGCAACACTCGAACCAACTGCAGCTGAGAAGCTCGCTATGCCGCTGTTCAATCTCAGTCCACAGCGCGGTGTTCTCGCTGTGCAGGCTGATGCACCTAAGTACCGAGTGAAAGTCTTGCCACGCTACATCTGATTGTAACAAGTGGAACATATCCATCTTTGACCTCTGTCTTGTAAGCATGCAAGAGTGCAGCTCCTTGACGAGTCGGAAAGAGCCGCATCGCTCTTTGAAAATCTTCTGACAAGAAAACGCTTGCGCGTCCAGCCACAAGCAGCAACGACCATAACCAAGTGCAGCTGAGAAACGCGTTTTGCAGCATCTGGGTCTCGGCCCACCGGGCGTGGTTGTCACTGCGAAGCCTCAAGGCCGTGCAAGCATCTTGCGATGCCGTATCTGTTCGTATCAGCAACGACTGGAACAAAATCCAACCCTTCCGCATGTCGTGTGACGGGGCTGAAGTACAGCTCGGAGACTCGTGAAGCAGCTGATCCTTCTCGGTGCTCAGCTTATTGAGCTGCTGGACCAGAAACCAGCAGCATCTGCACCTGAGTCTCTTGCGCCAGGCAGATGCCACATGTAATCGGCTGGGCCCAACTCAGTCTCTCCCCACAGTATTGTACTTGCCAAGCGACCCGGGGTCATACTGAAGCGGAGCCGACCGGCACCAAACTGTACCAGCTGTCGCAGCGTCACTCCATGGCATCGGCGACATGCTGTCCACTTTGCTGAAGGGTATGTTAAAGCTACCACGTCAGGCACACCGCAGAGTAGCAGTCGCTGTGAAAGTATGCGTTGCTGCTACTGTAGCTTGATCAGAAGGACGAGCGCTGTTCGGGCCACAGGAACAGATCCAGTGGAAGTAAGCCATATCCTGCATGCACGGTGCTGCGCGACAGGGCAACAGGACCAAGCCGCCGACTATAGCAACAGGACCAAGCCGCCGACTAAATGCAGGTGAAACCTTATGCAGAGCTGAGCGGTCGCATGGCAGACGACATCTCCCCTGTCATTCAAAACATGGCTCTCATTGACTGAGCAAGCTTTTTTTGCGATCAGCTCTTTCACGAAGCAGTGGTCGTCCGAGGAATGGGTCTTCACTACACAGTCTGCTGCTACCCGAACGGGACATGGAGGTTTGCGACCACGGTTTCGCTGACGACACTTTCGGCACATGTAACCGGCTGGGCGCCGTCTTTACAGCTCTGTCTCTCCCCGCAGAGAACGGGGCCGGTTGTCGTAGAAAATCGGCCCTGGCGTAGCAGACTGGAACGGCATTGTTCCGGTCGCGATGCCGCTCCATGGTATCGACGACATGCTGTCAACTTCGCCGAAGGTCATTTAGGCACATTCGGGTGTGTCGAAGATGTCATGTCACCATGGAGTAGCGGTGGCTGTAAAAGTATGCGTTACTACTATGATAGCTTAATCACAAGGACGAGCTTCGTCGGCCACAGGAACAGATCCCGGAAGCAAAGCAAGTCTCGCTTGTATGATGCTGGGTGATAGAGCAACCAGAACCAAGCCGCCGACGATATGGAGGTCAGACCTGATGCAAAGCTGAATGGGCACAGGTCACCGACATCTTCCCGCTCATTCAATACATGTTTCATGTCTCTCATCTGACTGGAAATAGTCTTTGCGATCAGCTGCCCAGAGCCCGAAAGAGATCCACAAATACATTCATTGCAACATTCGAGCGTGCACTCCAAAGCTAAGTCGCCGGCACACGATAGGCAGATGGGTATGAGTGCTTCTTGGTTTGGTCCAAATCGATGCGAGCATACGAAGCATTGGAAATTTCAGATATCCGCATGAAAAATGCTCACCGAAAACCCTGCAAGCAGGCACTCCCTTTTCCTTGTCAGCGCATCTAATCGCCACCGACAAACTGCGAATGCAACTCTTGCTCGACATGGCCTTGGGGGCATCCTGATCTGGCCCTGGGCGACTCCTGCGGTCTGGACAGGCAGGCAAAGAGCCCGACAGCTTCACTGCTTGACTGCGTGTAGGAGTGCAGCCGAGGTTCGGCAAGCTGTCTCCGCTTGGCGGCCCGAGCACCGAATGCACCTGATCCAAAACCGAAAAAACCTTTCTAATGCGAATCCTCTGTGGCTGGCATGAAGACAGTTCTTCAGCCCTTCAGGCCGTTGAGGCCCCGGCATTTGGCATGCTGCTGTTTCGACCGAGCTCCTGGTTCGGGTGAGGACGGGTGAGGTGTATGCTCTCAGATCCTCCCAAGCCAAGGGCAGCAAAGCTCCTCCTCCTCCGTGCGCCACTCATGCGAGCGCCGCTTCTCGAAGCAAGGGGCCGGACCCGGGTTGGTCTTCTCAGGCCCTGCGCAACTCAGGAGACCAGGACTCTTCAGCAAGGTCTTCCCTTCTAAAACTCATGTAAACTAGAAAGGCCTGGGTGGTCTATTCCGTGTCTACCGAGACAGTCCAGAAAACCAAACCTGGGCTTCAGCGTTGAAGACACAACAGGCTTGGCAGTGTCGGTTGACCTTGTCTCAGGCACCCGCCCACTTGGGCGCTGGCCTCTGCACTCCTCCCACGACGAGTGCTCTCAGAAAAAGCACACGAAATCTGCGGCAAGCGTGCCGAACACGCGCGAAGACCCGAAAGCAAGTAGCAAGCGGCTGCGCGCCTGTGTAAGACGCCAACGTTTTGAAACACTTGGACTTGCATAAAATACGCCGATAGACGGTCTGAGTCACAATGCTATGTCAGTATGCCAACTGACACACAAGCGTTACGGACAGCGAGCACAGATCTTCGGGTTCTTCCAGCTATCGGTTCTTCCAGCTATCGGGAAACCCTACGCGACACAACACGGCCATCGTATTTGCTATCAAGTCCACTCCGCCTCAACTGTTGCAGTAAGAGCAACCAGGCCGCTCTCAGGCACGTCTGTTGTGGACTTGTATTGGCCGTGCAAAGCTGCCATTGCCTGAAGTCGGTGCCGTGAAAGTGAAAATTGAGAATCATAGGGCTTCGTGTTAGCACCCGGTGCCTTATGTAAAAAGACACCATGGCGACTGATTCGTGGCTTCCCACAATTTTGAAGGTTGGGTGAGCGGAGACTTCGAAGCATATTGATGGGGTCAACGGCATGTTCTGAGTGAAGTTTGACAATATATCTCGCAATGCTGATCGCAGGCACGTATCCCCGAGGACGCAGCATGACTCTTGATGCTTGGCATTTGGCGGCCTACTGCCAGGCGGCCGCGGCCAACGGGGCCACGAAGTGCCCGCACCAGCTTCGACGTCATTGGACATTTTGTAGGCGGAACACCTGCTGAAGCATCATTGTAGAAAGGTGAGTCCGTATGATTTGATATGCAGCTGTTTCGCCGCGCAATGCAAGAATTGCACCCGCCTCCGCAGTGTCCATACACCACAGGTTACAATGCGGCCACCAAAGCGATGCGACGCCTTTGTAGAAGTGTAGTGATGGAAGCCTGGAGACTGCCGTCAGGGGACACTATGTGTCAGGTGTGCATGTGCAAGCTTAGACGGATTGCTTTATTTTGTTAAGAAGCTCCAAGAAACAGTTCAAACAGCCAACACATCCGTACATAGCATACCTAGAGGATCAATTCGCAAGGTGCTTGACAGCTGTTTTGGGAATTGGTGTCTTGGTACTCCAGAGCAGATCCCCAAACAGTGATGGAGCACCCCGACAACGACGAGCACGACTACGACCAGGACGATGAGGACGGGTACCGGATCAGAAAAACTTAATCGGGATCAAAGGAAAAGTTTCAGCCATCGGGGATCAAACAGGATCAAGAAGAAATTAGCTCGCACTTGGGCGCTCCGCTTGGCATGGTCCCTCGTCGATACGACGTTGGTTGCCTAGGACTTGCCAGTACTGTAACCGCACAGACTCCCTAAGCTCTCAATCTGACAGCTGAAAAACTGACACGTCCTCGGTCGCTATAGCCCCCGTAACTCAAACACCGAGATTCACGGCAAGAAACTGGGGCACTTTGCAAGGTCTGGCTTTCCGGTGAGCAATTCGGGACTTCCACTTTGCAGGCTCTGCTTTTGCGGTGACCTACTCCCTGAAACCTAAACTTTACAGATTCACCATAAACAGGAGATCAACCCGTAAACCCATGCAACCCCGAACTCCTTTCAACCTGAAATTTGGCTTATAACCCCAGCCAACGCTATATCTTGACCCCACACCCACATCAAGGAAGGTTAAATTTGTGTACACGGTGGTGGGGTTGCACTCATATCTCAAACCCGACCCCTCATTAAGCGACGGCGGTTAGTCCCGTATCACAAGCCCAAGGGCAATTGGTCAAGCATCTTAAAGTTGCACCCTCATTAGGCGAGTCCAATAACAGCAATAATAGCCGCCAGTAGCAAGTAGTAATCATGATAACAACAAACAGAATGTGTATTATAATCGCAAGAACAATAAGACTGGTAAGAAGAGTAGTCATAGTACTTACAGTAATGACAGTTAGAATAGTAAGAATGGCAGCAATAGTAACAAAAGTACTAGCAGTCAGAATTCTGCTGATGGTAGTACTAGTACCGCACCGCTAGCACTACTACGAGCACTCGTAGCTAGTAATAGTCATAATGATAGCACAATACGAACAGTCAAGTAAGAACAGTATGTGTTATAGTGGTAACGGTATATACTAGTATGACGAATAACTTAGAGGAACAAGGGCGATAATTGCTAGAGTGGGAAGCTGTGGAGCGGAAGTATGTCTCTTGATCCTGTTTGATTTGCTTGATCCTGGTTATCCTTTGATCCCGATCAGGACGACCACGACCACCAGAAAAGACACGGGGAGACCACCAACACAACGCAACAGGAGACCAACAGCAGACCACGCAGAGACTACCGGCAAACCAGGGACATCACCACACCACGGAAAAAAGGCTTCTCCCGAGTACTGGTGGGATTCATAACCACGGCCAAATGCTTCCCCTCATGTAGTGGCAGGATTCAATTGTTTGTCGAGCGCAGAATGAGGCTAATGTGTCGAAATTCGCAAAGCTTGGAGATGCAAATGTGAGGGGTGTTTGCTGTCAGGTTTTGCCGTAGGTTTGTGCAGTTGACCTGTGCTGACCACAGCAGCTGCCTTGGGCAAGGTTGCCCCACATCGTCCAATTGCAAAGGACGCACTCCAGAAGCCTCTTCACAAAGCTTCATGACGTGCGAGTTTCGAACGAGAGCAATCATGTCAGCAAGCTCAGCTCGCAACCAGCAGGATCACACTTGTGACTGTGTCTCTCCTTTTGCACATGTACAGATGCAAAGGTCCTCTCGACACAGTGCGAAGCCGTCCACCGCGCCTTCCCTGCAAGGGATGCAGCTGGTGCTCGGCTCCTCAGAGAAGTCCACAGAAAACGAGATGCTCCGATTGCCATGCCAACAGACTTCGCCAGATGAGACTAATCCAGCTAGGATTCGGCAAGCTGTTTCGCTGCATGCCGAGAGCAGTGTGCACCTGCTGAGAGCAATCGGCCCACTCAAGGCCGACAAGCCGCTGGAACTTCCCAAAAAGGAACCTAAGGTGCATGCATAACGCATGCTGCTGCCAGTGCTGCGGCCAGCCTCCTGCACGCCGAGTCAAAGCGGAACTGGCATGCGGCAGAGCCCCGCCAGCGTGGGTCATGCTCTCGGCAGGGCTCTTAACCACGAAAAAGACAGAACGAGGAGCTAGAACTAAGCCAGTCCTATGTGGGACAGGTGTCGAAAGTCGAGGAGGAACGGAAACACTGATGTTCCTCAGAAGCTCCTGCACAGCACAAGTCGAACTCGCGGCACGTCGCAGAGCAGACCACTGTGCACTTGGATGGTCGCATGCCGCCTCTGTGGTCTACGCAGTCGGCTCCCCTTCCAAAGCATTCCAAGAATCCGAACCTCAGATGCCGCCGTCATTCTGCGTGTCTGAATCTTCAGCTTTTCAGCCGGGCATGACTGGGCTCCGGAACCCAGAGCTCGGACGCTGTGCAGCTCCCCGGCACGACTCGCCCTGCACCAGCGGAGAGCAGCACAGACCAGCAGAGCCCGGATGGTTCTCACACTTGCCGTGACGCCGCTGGGCCGCCTGTCGCACCGCTCCAGGGCGTCCTCGGGAGGACGAAGCCTGACTTCTGCCACTCACCTGACACATTGGCTGCAACAGCACCTCACTCCGTGAAGATGCAAGCACAAGGGCAGCGCTTCTGCTCCGTCTGCATCCTGAGCACTGGCCGCATGGCTGAAGGAGCATGCCTGGACATGCAGACGTCGCCAGCAATGCTCTTGTAGTCGCATCCGGTCCTTTGCACACCACAAGCTCTCGTTCGGCGGAACGTAAAATGTTTTTTCGCCCGCAGGGTCTACGTCTACACGATGCAGGGTCGGCTGAAAGGTGCGACAATGTGCGACATGATGGATGCCTCTACATGACTTACATCAAGGCTTCACGGGCGGTCCTGCGATGCTCGGTTGTCGAACAGGGAGGGATGCAATGCCCCTTTCCGGGTTGTGGCGCTTGTCGAAACTTCCTGCCGGCGACTCAAGAACCGAAGTAAGACAAAACAACCCGTGCAAGACATGTCTGTTTGCATTGTGAAAACTGCCCGACCGTCGGGTCTCAACTACCTTGTCATATACCGGTGTTTCCCATGCCCCACATGCTCCGTACCTGTGCAGTATTCACTCAGCGTCGCTCAGCCTTATGTGCGTATGTAATGTACTTACACGGTAGAGTGATCAGACACCACTTTCCATGTGTGCTTGAAACTATGCCATGTAAACAGACAGGATTCGTGGTACTGTGCTGCTAGTCATAGCAATACCAACATCTGACTGAATTGGCACTATAAATAATGCCGTTTCACCGCAAAACCAATCAACGCTCCAGGCCTGGCAGACCTCAATGTGCCGACATGAGACAATACATGTGCAACTGCCTCCAGGATCTACTCTTCCCCCGGAGCCACCGAAGCCGTTCTAGTGGCCAAACCTGGTGACTCATGAGTCCGTAACATACCATTTCTTCCCAAGAGGGCGCCAAGTTTTTCCCATGAAAATTCTCGCACTGGGGCCATGGCACGGAGAGAACTCCTCATCTGATGGCAGCTCACGGACACTCAAGCCTGGCTGCAAGGCCGGGAAGCAGGCCGTAGCCGGGGAGTGCTTCTCCCCAAGTCGAGCCATCGGGACAAAACCGGAACGTGCGTGCACTAAGTGTCAGTCCATTGCACATGCGCTAAAACGTTACAGAAACCCTGTTTGGTGCACTCCTTTGTAACAATGCGAAAACCCTCAAGTAGCTGAACATCAGCAAGGATGTCGTCGAGCCGAATCGGACAGAAGGCAGACACGCACTGTGAAGACATTCGAAAAGGACAACACGATCTTCGGCCGTGGCATCCAGGTAGCCCCCTTTTCCAACTTTCCATTCAACAAGGATCTTCAACAATGGTACAAGCTCGGATGGGAAGAAGGTTGCCACAAAAGTTTCAAAGTTTTCGTACGCTATTTACAAACGCAGCGTATATCAGACCGCAATCTCCAAGTCTAAATCGAAGAAGCAATCCCTCATAAATGGTAACATATAAACAGAGACATAGCTGTCCAATCCAAAACATGACAACGGAAATCTCACACGAAAGCCATGAATCCCTGGCTGAGGCGGAGCTGTTTTCCACCTGCTTCCGCTTCG